GAATGTAGGATCCATGTTGACGATAATGAACGAGAATTACAATGTAAAAGCAAGTCATACATTGGATTTTCTCGAGGATTTCTCTCTAGTTAATATCGCGACATGCAAAGACGACGATATTATCATCATCCAACGCGAAGACCCTCATGTGTATGTTTGTGAGAAGACGTGTCAATTGAAATACAAGTTTAAACGCGACTCGAGGTGGGCATTTTCATTGAGTATTTCCCAGCAGAATGAAATCATGATACCAACAGAGGATCATACGGCGGTTCAAATATACACCAAGGAAGGAAATCTGAAGACAACAATAAAAGTCCCAGAAGATCATGAGGTACAGAGCGTGGCATTTCACTACGAAATTTGTAAAATATTGGTTTTAACCTGGGTTAGAGAAAAGCATTCCTATTTCATTCTGTGCTACCCTGAAGCAGGCGGGGAGCTGGAGACTCTTACCTTCTTTTGTAAATATGAAAATTTGTTCTCTGAAGTCACTCCCAAACTGGTATCCCATCCCAAGGGTCCTGTTGTTGTTTTAAGAGACAGAAACATCACTTACCTTTAATGAGATTTAGTATGAACAAACATTACCTGCATAAAACACAGTAAATACTTGTCTGAAATAGTGCAACTTTGAGTTAACTAAAGCAAACAATAGATGCAGCATGGTTTATATAGTTTGTGAGACTTTGCTGAATTACGTCCCATTAAAGTGTTCCTGTTTCTGTTGTAAGAGAGACAAGTGTAACTTATATTGAAATATTTTAGATAATGAACGTTTTTTAACGTTTGCCAACATGGACAATAAGCTTTTAATGACATTTAAAAGTGTATGAATCCTATTTCATATTTCTTTTAATTAATGATCAGGTTCTTAACATAATAAACTTATGAAACCACCCCTGGCTAAGCTTAGAGCTATGAATCATATTATTAGTGGGTATATTGATGGCTTCTATCTGCAACATGATACATATGCTAAGTGTGCTACAAATGCTCTTGACACAGTTGAAACATTTGACTGTCTAGATCTAGTTATCCATCCTGATAAGTCCATTCCTTCCCCTTCTCAAGAGGTAATTATCCTAGGATTTGTCATTAACTTGATAACAATGACTATCCAAGTTACAAATGAGAAAATAGGAAAAAAATTAAAACATGTTTGTTTGATGTTATTGAATGTGCAGTGTTTCAAGTTTATTCTCTTTGTAACATGTACGTATATTTATATATTTATTCTCTAAACTCAGTCCAACAAATTACAACCTTTTCACTTCAAGTCTCTGTCCTTCACGCCAACTTATCAATGACAACCCTCGTAACAACTTAATAAATATTAACCCCATTATTAATAATAACAACCTTATTACATAATGTAACATCCAGCAGACATTCCTATCTGGCAGGTAGCCTGGGGTTCGGTATGGGGCTCTTCATTATAGGTGCCTTGAAATGGATAAAAAAGATGCTCCTAAAAGAGCTAAGGGTAATTTTGATTCCTCTATGACTGTTTCTGAGGATGGCTTGATATAGTTACGATGGTGGGTCACTCATCTTGAAGAGAGTTTTAGATTTCTTTTCATTCCTCCTATTGATATAACTATATACTCTGATACACCCCTAGAAAGATGGGGAGCTGTACTAGATGATACATCTTCAGTAGGAAGATGGTCGCCAGATGAATGCACCCATCACATAAACTACATTGAACTTTTGGCTGCATTTTTTGCCCTTAAACTGTTCTGCACCACTCTTAAGTGGTGTAAGCATGTAAAACTCATGATAGATAACACCACAGCAGTAGCTGTAATAAATAACATGGGTTCTTGTCATAGTCGTATTTGCTGCTCTATGGGCTGCGAAATCTGGGAATTTTGTATAAAATACAACATTTGGCTTACTGCTGCTCACATTCCTGGTTCGCAGAATGTCTTAACACGCAAAGAATCTCGTCATTTTCATAATCCGGATAACGAATGGAAACCAAACCATTGTCATTACATAATGCGCTCAGTACCTTGAATTTTCACACTTAGATCGATCTTTTTGCATCACACTTAAATATAAAACAGTTCCCAACATATTGCTCTTATCTGCCAGATCCTGAAGCAGTGTTCGTTGATGCTTTCTCTATTTCGTGGATTGACTTGAAATGTTATTGTTTCCCGCCGTTTAGTTTTCTGTTACAGGCTGTAAAGAAAATAAATTCAGGAGCATGCCAAGGGAATTTTAGTTGTTCCCGACTGTCCCACCCAGCCTTGGTATCCTTTGCTAGCCTCTCTTCATGTTCCACCTCCTGTGGTCCTACAACCCAGTCACAAACTACTGAACCTCGGTCGGAAATCATCAGAAACAACTCATCCCCTTTGCAAGAAACTCGGTTTGTCATGTTTGCGGCAACAACTACAACAACCTGGCTACTCGTTAAGACCATTAAAATAATTGAATCCTCTTGGAGAGACAGCACTAAATCTCAGTACCAAGTGCATCTGCAGAAATGGTTAAAATTTTGTATGAAGAGGCACTGTGATATCATCTTCCCTACCTTACCACGGACGTTGGATTTTCTGTCATCGCTGTTTGACTCGGGTTTGTCCTATCGCTCAATCAACTCGGCGAGGTTTGCTTTATCTTCTATTTTGCAGTTAAGTGATAGTGAAGTCACTTTCGGACAGCTACCTATTGTTTAGCACTTTATGAAAGGTGTATTCGAACTGAGCCCGGCTCTACCGCGTTACCAGACAACATGGGATGTTAGCAAGGTCTTATAGTTTTTTCGAAAGCAACCTATACCTTCCGCGCTGGCTTTGAAGGAGCTTACTGTTAAAGTTTCCTTCTTATTGACCTTACTCAGTGGACAACGCTGTCAAACTATTCATCTTCTCACTGTCGATAACATGATTCTCGTTGCGGACAAGTGCACTTTCCACGTCATGGAGAAAGTCAAACAGACACGTGTCGGAACTCATGTCAAACTCCTCGAGTTTTTGAAATATCCATTTGAGCCTCAGCTTTGCATCGTTACTCATCTCTTAGAGTATATCAAGAGAACTGATGAAAATAGCGATGATAGAAAGCAATTGCTACTGAGTTATGTGAAACCGTATGGACCTGTTTCCAAAGATACTATATCTCGATGGATAAAGTCTGTTTTGGTAGCTGTAGGTTTAAATGTTAGCAAATTTAAAGGTCATAGTGTTCGAGCAGCAACTACATCCTTTTTAGCGTCGAATAACTGTAACATTAAGGATATTATGTTATCCGCAGGATGGTCGAATGAACAGACATTTCAACGGTTTTATAATAAACTGAGCGAGGAGGAATTTAATTTTGGCGCTTCGGTGTTAGAGTGCTATACAAACGTTAATTGTTCCTAGGATATATAATATACTATATATATAATATACTTCTCTATACATCGAGATGTCTTTCCACTTTGTTTTATCACGCTGGCTATAGTTATAGAGTGGTTTGTGTATCTCTGCAAGATTAAAATTAAGTCTTGCTGCAAGATTAAAATTTGTTACTAACAGCTTGTTGCTCCATGTTATTTGATCAATAACAACTTTTTAGGAGCAGTTCAACTTTCTTAAATGAAATGAATATCACGTCTTTTCAAATAGTCAATGGCGTTGGGTTTAGCGAGTGGTCTAGTTTTTCGCCTTGCAGCAAAGATTGTGTTAAGAAAAGGCAAAGATATTGTTTCTCTTCAAACTACGCGGACTGTCCTGGAGCATCGTCGCATGGCGTGGAATCTCAATGGCAGAATTGCACGAACGAAGAATGTTACGGTAGGTCCTTTGCTTCGAGCACTTAAATTTATCGGATATCAGTGACATACGTAGATCAGTGGCTGAGATCGTTGTCTTTCCCTGTCGTGATTCGTGTAAGTCGTGTTTCGTGACGATGTCTTGATCCCACACTTTGTTGACCAGTGTTGGTATGTGCTGTGATGCTGAGTCATTCGGCCACATTTGGGGCAAAACAAATCTTTTACGGGAGTACAAAAATTGATTTTCAATGATAGGGGGGACCTTCATCGTGTAAAAATACGAACGCCTGCCCTTCCCCTTCACGGGCCTGCACGCTTATGAGAGAACCAGTGACACATACTAAATATAGTTGCATGAGTCATTGACTAGAACGCAAGCAATGACCTAACCCTGCAAGCCAGGCTTTTCTACCTTCGCTCCACAGCCCACGATGGCTTGCAAGGTTGCCAATAGCCTTCCAGAAATACAACCTCTGAGCTCGTCTATCCTCGTTAAACGCTTTTATTTTCTTGTTTCAGCTCCTGTTGCTGGTCATTGGGGTCGCTGGTCCTCTTGGACAGAATGCGATGAAAATTGCAAGCGTCGTCGATCCAGAAAATGTTCAGATCCTGCCCCGATGCATGGCGGGAAAGACTGCCCAGGGGTTGCGAAAGAAGAAAAAGATTGCTACGCCAACAGTACATGCAACCCAGGTTTGTTTTTTGGATAAGGTCATTTCAGCTTGGTTAGACAACATCTTGTCTCTGCCTGCCCATCATGTTTGAAGGGCGTTTTAGCTGCTCAGGCGAAGTCTCGTTAAACTAATGATGGGATATTCTTTTATTTCTTTTTAGATAACTGTGATTTTACGCGCGGTAGTTACTGTCATTGGACCCGTTATAAAAACATGGATTATTTCTGGCAAGCACATAAAGGATCAACACCAACCAGGAGCACTGGTCCAAATCAAGACCATACTACTAACACGGGTAAGAAATTTCAGGGATACATCATCATCATTTGTCATCCCCTTTTTGATCCCAACTCATCGGCCATCTCTATCCCTCACTTTCCATGGTTACCCATCATTATCAAACGTTATTCATTATTGTCTGTCGTTACTAATCGGTGCACCTAATCCTCAGTATCCACTATTACCACTATTATCCCACAAATATCCATGATTATCCATAATTATCCAAGACTATCCAGCCCTATCCATAATTTCCATTATCGTCAAATTTCCAGGCCATTACATTTTTACCGAGGCCAGCTTCCCTGCCAAGGAAAACGACACAGCACTCCTAACAAGCAAACTGTTTCCACCCTCGCAATGTCGTTGCATTTCCTGGTACTATCACATGTATGGCCGCTCAATGGGAGAACTCAGCGTGTACATTAAAGACCCTGTGGGTTCTAAGAGGATAATATGGGATAAGAAAGGTGATCAGGGAAACAGATGGATATTAGGTAGCGCAACAATATCTAACGTGTCTACGACTAGTTACCAGGTTTGTATGATATTTTCGTTTTAGTTGATAATTTTTTTACTCTTCAACATTACTTTGGGGCCATCCATGGAAGTATCGCAATGCCTTTCACCGGATTTCGAAAGAAATGCTCTAATTGGACTGTTTTTGGTTGCATACAGTCATTTCAATCCAGTTAAAGAGCAGTTGTGAAAATGAAGCTGATAAGAATCTTTTTCTAAAATATTTGAATTGTCCATGTATTAAAATACATCGATCGATACAACTTCGTAGGATTAGTTTGTGCTTTGATTAGTTTGTACATGCATGAGGGTATAGGAAAAACAGGTCACCATTCTAAACCAGGAACGAGAGACACAGGAGGGTGGGGGGGGCCTCCCTGGCCCAAAAGTAAATTTGTTCTACCGCCCCGGTAATTAAGACCCAACCTTGTAGTACCAGGTAGCAGTTTTATTTTGGAGTAAATGTGAGGCAATGACCAAAATCGTCCAATATCATTCGATACTTTCCAAGCATCTTTCATCTTCGAATGTTTACTTAAAACGGTTTTATTCCTGTGGAAAAACTACTGCTTGTTCACATTCTTACGTGACAAATTTTTGAAAAATTACATGACAAATTTTCATTTAGGTGGAATTTGAGGCAATTCGTGGCCGATCTTTTTATTCTGACATGGCTTTGGATGACATTCATTTCAAGGAAATGCCCTGTGGTAAGTCGCTACACTCTGGGATAAACATGATCAATTTAGTTCATCGATGGTCCTCAAATTAATGTGCATCTCTGATTGACTCTGAAACTACTTAAGGGTCCCCGACTGGTTCTTCCGATAGATGAAGGGCCTTTGATAAGACCAACAATGCGTTGATTCTTCAATAAAACATGATCCTCGCGATGGTAGAAATTGGAATCATTTTTTAATGCTAACAGTGGTTTTGCATTTGAAACATTGATTCAACGAGAATGCGAGTTGGCAAACAAAGGTTAATTTTTCTGCATGAGGGATTTTTTTGATGAACTATCAATGCTTGGTCAAACGTGAACAAGAGTTCTATGCGATTTAAACCGAGTTGACTGGCCATTGATCAGAATTTAGGACAACAGATAACAACCGACTTTCGCTGTAATTTTTTAAATATAAAATTAAGTACACATCAATGACTTTAGTGTCCATTAACAAAGATACATATTTAAGTGGACTTTCTACAGTAAAGACGGGCTCATGTTTTCAAACAAAGATACTTTGTTACAACAAGCTTATCTTAAACGAGCTTTACAAAAGCTCTTTGTTCAAATGACAATTGTTCGGTTCTTGAAATCAACACACAGGGCAGCCGTCAAACACAGCTCTTCGTATATATTTAGGTATACAACACTTGGGATGTTTTAACGATCGTTATAAAAGAGCTTTGCCAGACTTGATTGCGAATCTCCGGGATAAAATAGACTGGTATGACATGCAAAAGACCGTCAGAGAATGCGCCTGTGTTGCTTATGACAAAGGATACAAGGTATTTATAAAATTATTAAAATACCAGACCAGTGCAAGGCTCTCATGTTTGTCTCAGGCCTCAATAAAGTCAATTATAACTGGACCATCCACAACATGGATATTTTGAACCAATTCCTCTCATATTTACAGTAATAATACTGCATTGCGTTAACCTAATATGAATTTTGCTTCCATTTTTCAATGAACAAGCATTGATTATGTTGTTATTTAGTATTTCGCTGTGCAGTTTTACGGAGAGTGTTGGGGCGCAAGAAGTATGATTGAATATGACAAATATGGCGCTTCCAACGACTGCTGGTCTGGTGTCGGAAAAGATTTCACGAATTATGTTTATAAATTCACGAAATAAGATACGTTCTATTTTCCTTCTATCTATATCTTAACATTCCCAATATTTTAGGATTAAGCCACTAGTATGTAGGAAGTTGCATGACAAAAGTCACAAAGATTGCCGGGGAAGAAAAAGACTTGTGTTCGTGCAAATCTATTGTTAGAGAGTTTACCGTGTAGTATTGTATATATATTTATTTTAATTTTGAATAGAAACAGCGCACTATTGCGTTTAATGATTATTTGAAGTGAATAAAAATAATTGACATCTATTAATATTAGCACTGATATCAAAGCGAGTATCATATTTCTAATGCAGACATCTCTCTAACACAAACATATCTCTAATACAGACATCTCTCTAATAGAGACATCTCTCTAATACAGACATCTCTCTAATACAGACACCTCTCTAATAAAGACACCTCCCTAATACAGACATCTCTCTAATACAGACATCTCTCTAATACAGACATCTCTCTAATACAGGCATCTCTCTAATACAGGCATCTCTCTAATACAGACATCTCTCTAATACAGACATCTCTCTAATACAGACATCTCTCTAATACAAACATCTCACTAATACAAACCTCTCTCTAATAGAGACATCTCTCTAATACAGACATCTTTCTAATACCGACACCTCTCTAATAAAGACACCTCCCTAATAGAGAATACAAGCATCTCTCTAATACAGACATCTCTCTAATACATGCATCTCTCTAATACAGACATCTCTCTAATACAGACATCTCTTTAATACAGTCATCTCTCAAATACAGACATCTCTCTAATACAGACATCTCTCTAATACAGACATCTCTCTAATACAGACATCTCTCTAATACAGACATCTCTCTAATATAGGGATCTGTCTAATACAGACATTTCTCTATTACAAAACATCTCTATCTCTACACTAGAGACATTTTAACTTTTGATTGATGTGAACGAGGAAATAGTAATGACGTAATGATGTATGCGTGCTGTTATCTGAACGTCCATAACTTATCTACTTGTTTGCATCTATCAAAAGAAGAAAACTTGATCGTAATACAGACATCTTTCCAATACAAACATCTCTTTGACATGACTGCACAATTCGTCAAGTCAAGACAGGTTGAAATTCATCCTCAGTTTTTGACCCGAATTATTAAAAAGGACAGGCGTGTATTTATTGAGTTCATTGAAATTTCAGAAAATCATGTATCACCACAATTAAACCTGGGCCTAATCACACCTGATCTCTGCCAGTCGAGATGCAGAATTTGTAAAGGTACGTTCGGTGAACTGTTATTATTTTATCTCTGTTCTGGCATTACACCAGTTTTCCCGCAAGACTTGATAAGTGAGAGGCGAGATTGCTCAACTAATGGTGCTCAAATCTTTCAACCTTTGTAAATAACTGTCATTTCACGCTGGAAATACTGTCAGTGGATCTGTAAATAAGGATGAAACGCTATTGGCAAACACAAAGGACCATCAGAAACAGGAAAAACTGGTACCAATCAATACCATACTACTAGAACCGGTAAGAAATAAAAGTGATCCATTATCACAATTTCTCATTATTAATCATCACTACAGATATCACCTTTATTCCATTGGACTTAATTGTTATCCATCGTTGTCCATCATAGTCCACCGTTATCCATCGATCATACATTATCATACATATTTGTTTTGATCCATCATTATCATCCAATGTGTATACATTATTATCCCTGAACATCAATTATCATCAATTTGGATATATAGTTCGCTCCACGTTTCTTCTGAAGCGATCATCCGGCGAATCGATATATATATAATATAATAGTAGTAATCACAGATTAGTGATGTGCGTTCGGAATGTTTTGATTTCGGTTACCGATGATGGCTCATATGCTTTAATTAACAACAAAATGTCAAAATAAAGCGAGCACATGGTCTCCAGTTACTATGACGACACATCAGAACGAGGCAAATCTGACATCGCAAATCTCGATATGACACGGCTAGGAATCGTTCTCCTTCGTCGAAAGGGCATCGTCTGCGCTACAAACTGCAGCAAAACTCGGCACAGCACATTGTATTATTATGCAGAACAATGAAATCATACCTTCGTAAACAGAAGTTTTATCTTCAATGCAGCGCATGGAATAAGCATGCATTTTGTATGAAATGCATAAGTTTAAATTGCACAATTAGGATGATAACGTGGATATATATGTCAACGCCATGTAATATTGTAAGATGATTTTGCAAAGAGTCGTTGCCGTTGCCCTCAAATATTCAACGTGTAACGTCTGCGCCTTCAACTGATGTGTACGTTTGGATAGATGGGAAAATACTGTTCTAAATAACGTTTGAAACGATCGTATATATGCGTCTGGAAGTTGCGCCAAGTTTAACTTATAATCCTCATTGGACCATTGTTTGTCATACGGCAATAGCACTTTTGATTTGTATGTACATCTACGCTAATTCTTGTTGTAGCAACTGACTTTGGCAAATTGTAACATTAATAGCCTCGGTGAGAGGATCATATACTAGTTAAGTCTTTTGTATTTATATCATAATGAAATTGTTAATTTAAGCAAGGAAGCAAATAATCCCGAGTATGTTGGGACTGTGCAGCACAATGATGCACGCGCCATTTGTAAGACCGTATTATTCCGTAAAACATGGACATTATACACAGGAATTGCAATAAACCAGTTCGGTTAATGCCACATCTATGTGGGTCAACCACTTCTCACACAGTGCCCCAAAATAATAATCAATTTACTCTGTAAATCTGTAAAAAATCGACTGCTTTATTCTAATTACAGTCTAGCAATGCATAAATAAGCTATACATATTCGTAATTTTAAAGTTTAAACGAAAAAATGACTAAAAAAACCAAATTCTACTTTTCAATGATTGAACACAGTTGAATGTGAGGCCCAATAAAAGGCCGAATCTGAGTCCGAATCCGCGGCTAACTTCACACCTTCATATCTCGCCTGTTTCTCATGTGATGAAGTTCCCGGAAGAACGTAGATAAAAACATCGTTACGAATCATATGATTTAATGTGTTTGAACATATTCACCAGTGTTTAGTCAAAATTTAACCTTAATTTTTGGCTTCAGTAAAAAAACTCGGTATGTCTTCAATTGTGACAAGTATTCTCAGTTCAACAGTTGGTTTATTATGGAATAAGGTCAGAGACTCGACGGCAGACAAATTCAAAGGGGGCGATGTAACCGATGCAGAAATTCGAAAGATTGTCGTACGAGAGTTAAATGATATCAAGTCTAAAATCGATGGCCTTTCTAGATCAACTTTACTCGCGAGTTATAATTTTTTAAAAGAAGGAGTAGAGTTACTCCGTGTTTCTCTTGATAAATCAAATCCCGAGCAGAAAGCGAGCGAAACTCAGGACGAACCAGGTGAACCTTCGAGCGTTATTCAGTCTGGTATCTTAAACCAAGCAATAGAGCTTCCTCGCGCCATGGAAAAGCTTAAAATCAACTCGGACAGAGAGTTTGAAACTGCGAGGGAAAGATTCAAGGAAGCGCGCAAGACAGCAACCACTGCTTTCTGCAATGAGGCATTTAGTATCGAAGATCGAATTTTTGCTGCGAAGCTACGAATAGTTTCAGAAATACTGGAACATGTCGATAGTCCTGAGACCGCAATCACTGGGTGTTTGACGTTTTTGGAGACCCTTCATAGCTTACCAGCCATTCAAGAGATATTCTCGGCGTATTTGAACCGTGGAGTCAAATCATTGTTTAATAAAACCCAACGAGTGGAGAACGTCAAGTCGGTTATGTTAATCAACTATGTGTTGTTTCAATATGTTTGGAAATTCAGCAGCAAGTATTCATTTGAAGTGTCCGCCTGCATGCCAACGATTGAACTTCCTGATCGTAGTTTTCACCCAGTAAGAAATTGGAACGAAATTTCAACAAGAAAGTCTATGGGAAAGGAATTGCCTCATCCTCCAAACGAACAATTGCTTGATGAAAAAATAAGACCCTACTTCTCTGCTGTGAACAGTCAGGGGGATGTTCTTACTGTCCCTGATACTGGGTCTCGTGACGACATCATGATTATCCATGAGGCAGGAAAAATCAAACGGGTTGAAATACCTGAATTTGCAGGTGATTTTTTACTGGCGCTTGCTGTTGATATGAATAACAATGTTTACGTGGTGAGAAGACGTTCAGGTGAAGTATTCATGTTGACGATATTGGACGAGAATTACAATGTAAAAGCAAATCATACATTGGATTTTCTCAAGGATTTTCCTCGAGTTAAGATCGCGATATGCAAAGACGATGATATTATCATCATCCAACACGAAGTCCCTCATGTGTATGTTTGTGACAAGACGTGTCAATTGAAATACAAGTTTAAACGCGACTCGAGTGATGCATTTTCATTGAGTATTTCCCAGCAGAATGAAATCATGATACCAACAGACGATGATACGGCGGTTCAAATATACACCAAGGAAGGAAATCTGAAGACAAGAATAAAAGTCCCAGAAGATCATGAAGTATGGAGCATGGCATTTCACTACGAAATTTGTAAAATATTGGTTTTAACCATGGGTAGGGAAAAGAGTTCCTATTTCATTCTGCGCTACCCTGAAGCAGGCGGGGAGCTGGAAACTCTTACCTACTGTTGTAAATTTGCCAATGAGTTTCATCCCTATCTGGTATCCCACCCCAAGGGTCATGTTGTTGTTGTAAGAAACAGAAGCATCACTTACCTTTAATGAGATTTAGTATGAACAAACATTTCCTGCATAAAACACAGTAAATACTTGTCTGAAATAGTGCAAACTTTGAGTTAACTAAAGCAAACAATAGATGCAGCATGGTTTATATAATTTGTGAGATTTTGCTGAATTACGTCCCATTAAAGTGTTCCCGTTTCTGTTGTAAGAGAGACAAGTGTAACTTATATTTAAATAATTTAAATAATAATGTTTTTTGACATTTGCCAACATGGACAATAAGTATTTAATGACATTTAAAAG